CATCCTACCTAAATTGCTACAACACCTACTCTTTACTAATTTGGATTACTATCAACTCTCCTGTACTTGCATGCATTGCATTCTACCTGAATTCCTACCACCCCTACTCCTTACTAATTTGTATTACTATAAACTCTACTTCTCTGCAATATCCTACCTACTTGATTTATACAACCCTGCATCATACCTACCTGTATAACATTCATCTCTGCTTTAACCTGCCTACCTGATTCATACAACCCTGCACCATACCTACCTGGATTACTATTGCATTATACTGCCTACCTGGATTTATACAACCCTGCAAAAATAAACCACTATCTGGACATTGCTGAACATTTTGATTTCTAAGGTGTTACTTTCTTTCCCCGACTCTTTATAATTCCTAATACCTCTCTTTGTATTCTTCCTATACTTTACCCAGCTTTATTATTTGCACACTGTTTTGTTTTCTATATAGGGTATATTGCCTTAACGTTTATGTCTCCCTTTCCTTCTCATTATTTATTCTACAAATATTATACTGCTGTGATGTCAAAAGCTACAAATAAAGACACTTCAGTTAACTCTGGCAATCGTCTCCTACCTAACCTGATCGAGAGCATGACACCACTCTTGTAACATCAGCTGCAGTTGAAGATCTGGACCGGCTGCCCAGCATCCCTGTGGGGCCAGTGGAGAGACCTCGGTCCCATCTTAACCTGCCAGTTGGGGTTCCTCCCAGGAGCAGTCTGTAAGGTCCCCCTGTAGTGGGGTGGAGAGACCAGCTGTCTCCTCCCCTGGTATCTCTGGCTGTAGTTGGGGACTGTCCAGCATCCCTGTAGGGCTGGTGGATAGATCTCGGTCCCATCTCCACCTGCCGACTCGGGGTCTTCCCAGGCCCAGTTGATGAGATGGTAGTGAAGCAGGGGATACCTCAGCCAGGTCTCCCCAACTGTAGGGTTGTAGGTCTGAGTCCAACACCCAGCTCTCCTGCTCTCGCTGCAGGATATATTGGGGCCGAATTGAGCTGAGCAGGTGTTTGTAATCCTGCTCCAGCTCCCACTTCATTATCACCTGAGATATCAGGTCTTGTCTCACCTCATTAGCGTTAGCCCAATCATGCATGCCCTCCCTGTAATCATAGATGTCCCAGAATCGGGACCCTCCCAAACTTCGGTTCTGCGAAGGCCTCCCACAACAGGCCAGGGCCATTGTAATCCTCACAAACAGGCTTGTCGTGCTCAGCCAGCCAGGGGGTATGCCGAACCGTGTACCACCATAGCGTCATCCAGCCAAAGTTCTTTCCATACCAGGCTCTCGAGTTCCGTCACCCACTCATCCAGGGGCTGCTCTCCCCCGGCTGAGGCATTCGCAGGGTCACTCTCATCTGCACCTCGCTGCTCTTCACTGGGAAGACTCTTGCTGTACCAGACCAAACGTCTTTATGGACTAGATCCCTCCAGTCCAGGTCATCCTCCTCCTCGTATGCGAACGCTGTCCGGGGACTAGCTGGTTCCATACCGCTGTAGACAGGGACGCTGTACGAATACTAGCATTGCCATCAATTTGTAAATCCAAACTGTGTCTCCAGGATGCTTCTCTTCTCGCTAGGAAGCCATCCCACCACTTGCCTCACTTCCCTGACCTGTAGGCTATCTCTGCCACCTCCCCCCATGCCTCATTTACCTGATCTGTAGGCTGTCTCTCACCCCCCCCATGCCTCACTTCCCTGATCTGTAGGCTCTCTTTGCTGCCTGCATGTGTTGCTCCCCTGTGGATTCAGTCAGAAACAGGAATAAGATGCAGCTTCAGTCCCTGTCTCTCTCCATACACAGCGCCGGTATTGTCTCTCTCCATACACAGCGCCGGTATTGCACTGTATTTTTAATCTCACACGAAAAATAGCAGAACATGCTGAAAAATCGCCATGCATCTGTCATGGGGAAGTGGGACCGGTTGTCTCCACCATCAGAGGCTCCCCGACTGGGTGCCTCTGCCAATCGCTACTTCCTAGCAACACCGAGTACTACTAAGCATTCCACCAGACACCATAACCACTGTAAACACCACAGCCAGTGTTACAGCTTGGTTGGGGTCTCCCCGTTCTCCACCCACCCTGGACCCAAGACCAGGATCCAGCTTCCAGTGGGTAGACCTCTCCTAATCCAGAGAGTAAAGCAGGATGCTCTTACAAGAGCAAGGGTTGTAATCCAAGGTATAAAGGTATCCAAGCATAAAGAGTATAGCAATCCCTAGAGTGAATATAACTGTTCCCTCCACACATGAGACGAGGCTCTATGTTGAGGGTGAAGAGGAACTGATTTATTCACTCTGGGGATTGCTATACTCTTTATACTCCTTTGGATTATAATCACTAGCTCTTGTATGAACTATCCTGCTTTGTTCTCTGGATTGGGAGAGGTCTACCCACTGGAAGCTGGATTCCTGGTCTTGGGTCCATGGTGGGAGGAGGACAGCAAGACCCCAACCAAACTGTATAGCTGGCTGCAGGGTTTATGGTGGTTATGTTGTCTGGTGGAGTGCTTGGAGTACTCGAGCACTAGGAAGCATCGATTGGCAGAGGCACTCAGTTGGGGTGCCAGGCAGTCAGCCACACTGTGTTTAATGCATCTTATAATAAAATAGAAACCACTGTGGTAATTAATCAGTGCTTAAACAACTCTGATCGAAGGACTTACTGATTTGGTCCAACATTACTGTGGGGAATGGTCAACATTTCGTTCTCACATCTAGAGTTTAATCATTGCAACCAACATGTGAATAGTAACTGATTAAGGTTTTGTTGTTTAATCAGTGACTGTTTACCTATTAGTTATCTTATCTTCAAGGGAGACTGAGCAATTAACCAGTTATCAGTCAAAATAAGTTGGTTTAAAACACCCACAAATGCTCTCAGCATTTTTATCTAGACTGCCTACATACCCTCTTAGATATGATGGGAAACAGAAATGTACAATATCTAAACTAACAATATTCCATAATTATTCATTAAAAAGGGTCCTGATTGGGATTTTGAAATTTGGTTATTCACTAAAGGGAGAATTGTTGGGAATACAAAGTGAATTCAAATAAAATGTAAAATGACTTGTAGAATTTTTCTAATTTTGATATTTGGCCCATGTTTTGAAATTCACTTTACATTCGTAGCAACTCCCACTATAGTGAATAACCCTGTAGGTGTTGATATAGGATATCTTTTCAGATATTATATTTTTTGTTCACAATGTTGTGTGCAGTAAAGTTTGACATCAACATCACAGTGTGGGGTGGGATAAAATGAGACACATCAGGTAGTTAAGGTACACAGTGAGGGATTTGGGTACATGATAGATGCCACAGTCTACAAACGAGTTACAGTATAGAATTAAAGAAATCTTGCTTTTCTTTAATTTACTAGAGTTCAAATTTAGAACATTGACAGGTGGCACTTTACCCATCTTCTGTTTCTTTCCTTACACACAGTGAGTACAGGTGTGTATGTTATGTACATTATATGTATGTCTCGGTGGAAGTTTAAATTGACCTACAAGTGTCATACTGCCAGAACTTGAGTTACGACAGAATCCATAATAAGAGAAAGAATACAGTGTAATTGTCTGATAGGGATGTAGTAGTCCAGGCATAGGCACCTTCGGCACTCCAGATGTTTTGGACTACACCACCCATGATGCTTTGCCATCCCTTTGGGGGATGTGGTCCACAACATTTGAAGTGCTGAAGGTTGCCTACCCCTGTAGTAGTCTATTCTTGACTGCTTGTGTGGAACAAATTTCCATTCATACCATGAGGATGAGGCTGTGAAATAACAAGGGGGGCTGGGAGACATGGGGACACTAAGGGACATAGGGGAGACCTGGGGACACAAAGACACATGGGGACACAGTGTCCCCATGTCTCCCAGTGTCCATGTCTCCCAGCCAGTGGTGTCTCAGTGCCCTCTAGTCTCCCAGTGCCCCCTAGTCTACTAGTGTCTCAGTGTCCCCATGTCTCCCAGTGCCCCAAGTGTCTCAATGTCCCCATGTCACTCAGCCATGTCCCTAGTGTCTGTGTCCCTGGTGTCTCAATGTCCCCATGTCTCCCAGCCAGTGGTGTCTCCGTGCCCTCTAGTCTCCCAGTGTCCCCATGTCTCCCAGTGCCCCAAGTGTCTCAATGTCCCCATGTCCAGCCAGTGTCCCTAGTGTCTATGTCCCTGGTGTCTCAATGTCCCCATGTCTCCCAGTGCCTCCATGTCTCAATGTAACCATGTTCCCCAGCCAGTGTTTCTAGTGTCTGTGTCCCCATGTCTTCAAGTACCCCTATTTTCCCAGTGTCTCCATGTGTCCCTTGTGTCTCCATGTCCTCAGGTCTCCCCGTGTTCCCAGGTTTCCCCATGTTCCTAGTGTCCTAGTGACATGGAGACCCTGGGAGACATGGGGACATAGACACATGGGAATACTGGGGGAAACAAGGAGGCATGGGGCATTGAGACACTGTGACACATAGAGACACTGTGATACATAGGGACACTGTGATACATAGAGTTACTGGGAGACCTGGGGACACAGCACTAGGGGACACTGGGAGACTAGGGGACACTGGGAGACTAGGGGAGGCTGGGGGGCACTGGGAGACATGGGGTACTGAGACACTGAATCCTGGGGTAATTGATACATGGGGACATCGAGTCATGAGGGCACTGGGAGACATGGGGACACTGGGACAGTGGGAGACTTAAGAAACTGGGAGCAATCCATCTATACAGGAGAATCAAACCAAGTAGTTTTTTGGTGATTTTATAGCATTTTCTCTTATATCAATCCTTGTGATTTACATCATGTCATGTCACCTATACATAATTAATTATGCAAATTGGCAAGGCCGTTATGTTTTTCCAAGAAAGGAGGCACCCCTTACTACTTTTCACATACTCTTGCTTAAGTATGGAAACTTAATATGGATGTATGGGAACAAAACTTGTGTGGACTGGCTGACAATGAAATTAGTTAAGGTAATGCTGACTTTAGTCTCTCTAACACTGTGGCATGTTCCCTTTCTTCTACACTCACTACATTCAGCTTTTCTCTGTCCCAGACTATATACCAGGAGATCTGCCTGCTAGTAAGAAGGTAAGGAGACAAGTGGACCAGCGAGTGCTAGGGGACAGTCCTTAGAAAGCGTGGAGTAGGCGCATCATTTGATGCATTTATATCAAGCTTAGGGTGCTGTCTGCATAGTATGCCCTTAGTTGGCCAGCTGCATGATTGGCAGGCAGCATGACATGCATTCATGCCAGGGTGGCCTTCTAATTCTTTGGGCAGCCATGTCCTCTTTTTGGGCATGTTCGCCCCTTTTGGCAGGTTACGTGATTTGCGTCAGTGGCACACCCTTTTACCCCGCACATTGACTTCCTGCTTCAGTGGACACTGCTGTTTGGGGTTATGGATTTACTTGAAAGATGAAAACACAAATTAGAGAGAGATTAGCATAGAGTATGTGTTTTCTTTTAGCTGCTGTTTTCTTTCCCTCCAGCACCATCTCCATCAGATACATGACGCTTGGGAGTGTTTGTGTTTTTGGTCGATAAGATACTGTAATTAGGGCCCATCATAATTGTCAGCACCAGGCCCACTGGGCTCTTAATCTGGCCGTGCCCATGGGCATCGGCTACTTCAAATATTCATGGGGGAGGACCTACTGTTTACCACACTGGCAACCGACCCACGAATGACGAGTGGGAGCCCTACTAATAGTAAAACTATTAATTTGTTACAGTATTTAATGATGTACTATGTCCTTGCCTTGAGAATCACATCTACTGTACGATTTCACTGCCCACTTATCGATTGTACATCTTTACTTTTATTACCTTTTGAAGAAACTGAGCACTTAAACAAAAAAATTAATATAATAATAATAATAATTGGGAACCAGGCAAAGACATGATTGGGTGCTCAATCTTTCTTAAATCTTTGTAACATGAAGGGAAATTGTACAGAAAAAAAAAGAAGAAATAGGAAGTGGTTTAGGTGAGTTTCCAAATTGCCTACGGCATAAATAGTAACTTGTACAGCTAGAAACCTATCATTAAAATATCTTAAAAATTGCTTTATAATAGTTTGAACACAATATACGCTCTGTGTGCTATTTTGTTTCCATAGCAACATATGGACAGTTTTATTTGTGTGTACTAAGCACCCTTCCTTCACACTGCAAGTTTAACTGCTATGCCGAACAGTGATCCGTTGCCCTTTTCTAATCACACCCAACAACTTTCTCTTTTTCAACCCATTTTCTTCCTTTGAAGAAGTGTTACACAAAACTGTGTTCTGTCAGGAAGTCACTCGGCAATGACAAGTTTTAGGCCACAACAACTGCTTTGAGTTTGAAAATGTTTAACATGTGGGTACTTTGTCCTAACATTTCCAGTTCCGTAGAAAATTCTTGACAATTTCCAATTTAACCCTGGGAGTCTCATAACATTCATCCCAAAGAAATATTCTTTATTTTCATCTATTATAACGATCCTTTCACCCTTCCTACATTTACTTCTATAATCATTTGATACAATTTTATATAACTGCTTTAAATACTGTCCTACGAGAGCCTTCATGACCATTTGATAGTGATTTCTTTAACTCTAGCGTGAAGATGTGAAGCTCCAGATTTTTTGAAAAATGAAAAAAGGCGAATTTCTAAATAATGCCGAGACCTTTCAAAATTGACTCTGTCCTCTTGCCCATCCCTCATTTTCAACCCCTCACTTGGCGTTGTAGTCTTTGATGGCAAATTTGTTAAAAACAGTTATTTTCTTACTGATGGTACAACATACATCCCAACTGTTCCAGATCTAGTGGCAACATTCCTCCATCCTGGGTTTATTACCTGGTGTGCCACTTGTGGTGGACATCAGATAATTGTACTCTGCAAGAATGCTTCACAAGGGCAGCTCTATCTGAGGTAGGCTCAAGAGAGAACTTCCCAAAGTCCATTCCTTTTCTGAGTGAGATTTGTCCCACATTAAGCCAACTAAACAAACCATTATCGACCTGCCCACTTAGATCCTGAGTTCATACCTCTCAGTGTTCTCAGTTGTCACCCCCATCTTGAATACTGTGACATTCTTCCGTTCCTGACACCACATGAACATTTCCAGTTCATGGGGGGCGTGGTTTGCAGCCGGAGCAAGATGGACGTCTCCAAGTGAAGCTCCGCTGGGACCACGAAGCCAATAGCTAATATCAGCATTTAAAACACTTTTTCCACCTGTGTGGCTCGAGGAGTCGACGACATGGACAAACGCCCGCCAAAAAAACAACCCAAAAAGCAAGTGGAACAGGGCACCACGGTGTCCGACCTGTTCGCGGCATCCCGCGCCATGAGATCCACTCCTCAAGATGGCGGACGGGAAAGCCCTAGAGGGCCGTACTCACCCCCTAGCCCTGCCGTGGCTGCTTCATCCGAGGCATCGGAGACCAGCACAGCCCAGATCTTGGCTAATCTGGCAGAGGTACGCTGTTACCTCGCCACCGAGATCGCTAGAAACACTAGGGAGGTGAAGGCAGAGATTCACGCTTTGGGAGCGAGGACAGCGGAGCTTGAACAGAGGGTGGAGTCCACGGTGGTGGCCCACAACACTGCTACGTCCTATATCAACAAGCTGTCCTCGAGGCTAATGATGGTGGAGACCACCCTGGACAATATGGGGAATAGATCCCGGAGGAATAATATTCGGCTGTGGGGCCTACCTGAAAGGGAAGGAGAGGGCTCCCTGATGGAGGTGGTGACCACGATCCTAAAACCGCTCATACCGGAGGTGCCAGAACAACAATGGCACATTGAAAGGGCCCATAGGGCACTCCGCCAAAAGCGGGCAGAAGATACACGCCCGAGAGATGTTATTATTAAATTTCTTTATTTCCAAACAAAGGAGGCCCTGATGAAACGCAGCCGGGAGGGCCCGATTAAATATGGAGAAGTGGAACTCACCTTATACCAAGATTTGACGCCGGCGACCCTCCAGAAGCGGAGATCATGGTGTCCGGTGATGGAGATCCTGCAGAAGCATAGGGTGAGGTACGCATGGGGTTTCCCCTTTCGACTCCTGGCATTCCATGAGGGGCGCACCAAGACTCTGCACATTGATGGCGATCCAGGAGAGTTTCTGCGGAGCATGGGGATCCAGGACCCTGTCGACATGGCGGCGTTCCCCCCGGTAGATGAGTTGCAGCCCCTCCCGCGCGAGTGGTATGTGGCGGGAGAATGAGGCTCCTGGTCCCCGGCTGATTCTGAGGTACCGGTGACTGGCAGGGGAGGACACCCGGTCTATTTAGAAGTGGGAAAGGGTTAGAGCCTAGATGTTCGGGAGGCGGAAGCTGGGCCCCAGTTCGACCGGGAGGGCCCCCATGCCGATCGGGATCCCCCCTAATTTTTTTTTGTTGTTTTTGTTTTCTGTTGAGAGAGGGTCACCCTCCTGGGTTTTAGCCAACGGGGATTCTTGCGGGCATTTCGACCCCTTTTGGGTGGGCTAGGGATGTGCGGCTCTATTGTCGGTTGCGGAGATGAGCGGCCAGTAGCCCCTCCGTGTTTTCCCCCCCATGCTGTGAGAAATGGGGCTGTCCAAATGATCCAGACTCTTTCATCATTGTGTTTTTTTTGTCCAGGACTCTTTATTTATGATTGTGTTTGTTTTTTGTGCCGCCTTTTTTTCTCTCTTTTTCTCGCTCTCCCTTATTAACTTATGTGGTTACATTTAGGAAGGTGCGCTTTTAAGCAAAGGGATATACGTGAGTGGGGAAGGGGCTGTCCGGGGATTTAGGTCTGGAGCACAATTTTAGTTGGGGGTTATGAGCCGCTTCCAGCCAAATGACTGGGGCCCAACATTCCCCGCCCTTTAGAGGTGTCTCGGGTCTCCATGCGATCCTGCTGTATTCCGGGGGGGGCGCCGTAGAGGCCTGTCGGGGGAAGGGGACGGCTAGCGGGCAGAGGCGCAGGTCCCGACGCTATTGTATTCTGGCTCTGGTTAAGGGAGGAGGAGGGATGACGGGTGTGTTCTGTGCCAGGTATATTCTGATAGACCAACGGAGGCGATAGACTCAGTCGGACTTCGGGGGCGGGATTATGCGAACCCCCTCGGGAGAGCCACGGTCGGGGGCACCAGACTTCCTTGACTAGCTCGGAGGAGCTTATCTATTTATACGCAAGACCTGTGTCCTACTGCCCCATATTACAATGCATTCTGTTTAGGATACATTACCAAAACTCTGGCTTTTTGAGGAGGCTTCCGACAGGGGCCCCCCAGTGAAGGGTGGAGGGAGAGGGGAGGGGGAGAGAGAGGAGGAGAGAGGGGGGGGATAAAAGAAAACAGAGGAAGAAAAAAAGGAAAAAAGAGAGAGAGAGAGAACCGGAAAAGAGGGAGAAGGGAGGAAGAAGGGACAGATTAAGGGAGAGGGAGGGGGAGGAGAGGGGGCGGAGAGACAAACAAAGAGAATGACATAATGTTTAAAACAAAAAAGAAAACAAAAAAGGAAAAAAAAAAGAAAAAAAAAAAGCAAAGAAAAAAAAAAGGAAAAATGATAAATAAAGAAAGAAAGGGAGGAGAGGCCTATATCACATATAAGAAATAATGGGCGATTAAATATAGGCGAAGATCTTGGATGGATAACTGCGCCCATTGAGGCGGCTCTACTGTTTTTTACTCTGCTGTTTTTATTATATTCGTTCCAAGTCACACAGGTGGTGGTGTTTACTTTTTATGTATCCGCGGGCACTGACACAGTGCCCACATTGGCTGGTCCATGCCCCGTACACCCCAGGGTTCTTTAAAGCACTGGGGGCGGCGGGACATATACCCCAATCGTGCCTGGCTACGAGTAAGCCCAGGCGAAGTATGTACATAGTTTATTTCTTCTTACTTTCTTTTCTACCCTTCTCCTATCCTATCTTTTCTTTCTCCTACTCTACACTCCCCGGGGAAACCGATGGGGGAGGCCCAGGGGCTCATTCTAGTATACAAGGTGCCAGTATGTTTAGTTGTGGCGGCATACCATGGATTTACCCATGCCCATTAGGTTAATATCTCTAAATGTTAAGGGCTTGAACGCACCTAAGAAAAGACGGCTCATGTTTAGGGAGGTGAAGCGTCTGAACCCAGATATAGCCTTCCTACAGGAGACACATCTACCTAAATCGGCCAATTTCGCTCTCAAAGATTACACATACAACACCACATA